CATTGTCAAACTTTGCTGTGAATGTAGATGTGCACACACACAGAAAATACATAAGCAAGATACGATGCATACAATCTACGAAGACAAAGCCTACTATTAGCATGTTACTACAGTGAAAATTCATGCTCTGGGCATCAATAACGTTAGTCTGAAGAAAAAAATCCAAATCATGGACAAAAAATAATAATACAAAAAAAACAGGTACCAAGAAAAAAAAACAATGCAAAAACACCATAGAAATAAGCTGTGTTTGTTTTTATTTGCTGCCAAAAGAAAATAGAAACACCATTCCCAGTGGGAATTTCCCACACACTTGATGTGCGAAAAAGTAAGAGAGAAAGTGGCACTGATTTTCATTACACCTTTTCAGCAACCGTTGACCCCTTCTAAAGTCATAGTAGGTAAGATTGAATCATACACACACTTAATTAGCTTTTGTTCGTATTTTTTATTATTATTGAACTCTGAACAGTTAAAAAGATACACCATTAAGTGTAATAAACAGTCTATTCTTTTGAAAATTATTATTGATAAGTATTCTTGAAAATTCATTGGAACCAACCGATTTTCACACATTTTTTTAAGTTTTTACCTGCAATCGCCTGCACTTTGGTCAAAATGCAATCGCTCCACATCATGAAAACAAATATGCAAGACACCATATGGTGTCATTATGAAACATTCCCAATAAATTTGGCAGTTTTTTTTTTACTTTTATGGCGCCAGAAATGTAGAATTGCAGACATAGGTATAATATTTTAAAGACTTTTTTCACAATTATTTTTCTGTTTATTTTTGTGAAATATGGTTTTTCAATTATTTATATTTGAACATACTATAAAGACAGCTTTATAAATTAATGAGAAAAAAAGTGATGCTGAACCGTCTTTTGATGAAATATTTTACATGGAAGTAATTTGGTCTTTTTTTAAAAATAATTTTACGGTTTCAAATTATTGATTATTTGTGTTTTTTTCCTCGATATAAGTTGAATATTTTTTTCAATCGGATGATCTCTGATGTAACACTGAACAGGAAATATCGGTTCTGTTTTCGTTTTGATTAGCGTTTCAATTGAACAATACCAGTCTGTCCGATGGATTGGGTCCATTCGTTGCTCAATTTTATTTTCAGGTCATCATAATCTGATTTGCTGTTAAGTTTAAATCGAATCGACTTGAGTGCCTTATTTGCGGTGGTAAATGTGATGGCTTCATCAACAGACAGAGAAAATATATAAAAATTAACCGTCTTAATTTTGGCCAATGTCTGTGCCAATTTGAATTTTCCGTTCGCGTCCACAACCGGTATTCTCCCAAATTGTTTCAAAGTAACTTCAATCAATGTTTGATTCTGGTTAACGAAATCAATGACATCATTCCAGTCCCTCGGCGTCGATTCCATGGTGAATTTTTTCAAACAATCAAATGTGTAAAGAATTTTCGGCATCAAATCATAACAAGTGATTCGGAAACATTGTACATTTTTCAAATGGATTACCGGAGTTTCGGCGTCTACACCTTTCGTTGACCAATGTACATCGAGATCATTAATGTTTTGCAAATATTTGCTTATGCTTATATTTAAATTATTATTTGCAACTTGTAGTCGTCGAATTTGTGGATTCAATCGTAATGCTTCGCCAATATTCGATGCTTGAAAAGCGGTGGGTCCAAATTTAAGTGATAAATGGTCCAAATTTGAAAGAGTTTTTTCAATACATTTACCGTCACCGTTTTCGGCAAAATGATCACCACGAAATTCCAAATTTCGCAATTGCGGAAACCATTTGTTGAATTCAATTATATGACCGCTTAAAGTGCAGTATGAAAAGGTGACTGTTTCAACTTTTGGAAGGGGAACTTCCATCGCGAAATATTGAAGACAGTAAAAATGGATTTCAGTTAGTGTATCAACACAGTATTTGTTGATGTAATGAAAGATTTTTTGAAGCATCCAACCACAGATGAAACCACTTATATCTAATGTTATGAGCAAATGACCAAAGTTACGCAACAATTTTAATGCAGTCAATATGTCAAAGACCCAAATCGATTGGACTCTTATCTCGAGCTCATGGGTATATTTCGTATTTATGTTGGTTAAGTACAATTTCATGGACTTGTATTTGCGTTCAAACACCCAATCGACCGATTGACGGAAGTGCTTACATGTATCGGCCACATTTAGTAAATCAACCAGTTCCAATTTGTTGAAAATATGCTCGAGACAGTCATCGTTGACTTCGGTTATTTTAGTCGTGGTAACATTGGTTGTTTCCAATTTGATTCGTTTTGTTCGTGTCCAACCATCGCGATACTGACGCTTTTGTAGTTTACTTTGAGACATTTTTCACGATTTGTCAATGCAATCCACCTTCAATAAAAGAAATAAAGACACTTATTAATATACTGTATTGCACCAAAACACAATGCCAAAAATTTAGCCAGATGTCAAACACGGAATTTTCATGGAAGTGGCAGAGACAACCATATAGATTTGACAAGGTTCTTTCGCTGACTGCATTTCAAACATTGCTTTTCTTTCACTTTTTCGCAGAAAAAATATTTCACCGCTCATCAAATTTTGTGCACTACTTACCTTTTGAGATTTGATGGAAAGGAGTCTCCAAAAAGAATCTTTTGAAAATTACTCTATTTGATTTGTTCAACGAATACTAATTCGGAGCAAGTAATTTTGTTCAAATTGCCACTAAAAGTACACGGCTACGACCACTCCACTTTAGAGTCAATGTGATTGTGTTGATAGTGACAGAATAAAAGTGGCACGGTTGTCAAATATCCACCTAATTAGCATAGTATATCTCTTTGAAGTGTCAAGAGGTCGCTGTCAATCACATTTCATTTGTTTTTTTTTTTTTTTTTTTTGAATGTACAAATGATTATAATTACAGTTTGTACGGCAAAAGTATGTACAAAGAGAATTAAGTGAAATTGGACAACCCAATGGCTAAAAAACATATGTTTATATCGCAATTCCATAATGGTCTATATGCAAAAAATCAGAGACTATGAGCAAAAAACACATTTAATTTTTTTTTT